ACATCACAGCTCATCAGCCTGGTCATTCCTTGCTTGCCTTTTATCTCAGTATAACTGCATTAACAAAGGGCCAGACCTGCTCCTCCCTCCTCTCTGGATCAGGGACCTGCACAGCCATAAAGACAACACTGATTTCCTCCTCAGGTCTTGAAAACATAAGACAGCGTCACTGAGATCATCGTCACCTCATAACCCTCAGCACAAAGTCGCTTTATAGCTTCACAGGACCATATTACCATGAATGTCGACAATAAACTGACACTATGTTGTGTGTGAATTTTTCAACAGCGCATGAGTGACAGCTGGTTTAACAGCTAGTATTTTGCAAAAATATCAAAGTAAGCGATTAGGAAAATTGCAAGACATTAGGTCTGAGGCAGCTTCCACATGCTGAAGGTCATTTATTTTCTATTATGAAAACAGCAGGTTGCCATTTTGCTCAGCCACAGCAGAATTAAAGTGTCACATCCAAATGCAGAAATCATCTCTCAGTGCAGCCGGTCCCTGAGAGGAGGGCGGATCTGTCAGGGCGACACACCCTCCTGTCCCTAATAAGTGATTAGACTCATAAAAGTGGTGAGTCAGCAGGTCAAATTAAAGCTGGGAAGATGCACGCTTTTCTCCAGTCTGAGGTAAATGTGCAGAAACAGGCATCAGATTGCTTCTTGTCGGTCTTAAATCAAGTTGTATGATCAACACGGTGTCTGGAAGTAAAAGAAGCTGCAGCCGCTATTTGTTTTGTTTAAGAAAATACGATTTTACAGTCGGGCAAAGCTGCAGTGCTTTGAGCTAAATGGAAACATGCAGATGTTTAGGATTTATGTTAACCATGTTCACCACATTCACCGCATTCTTCTGTGTTTTCACATCAGCTGATGGTTGTTGGTTTGCTACAGTGTGTAAAGTTTAAAATGACATCAAGTTACATCATTTAACTTGGTTATATTATCAACTGTTTGGTTAAAAGAAAAACAGATGGATGACAACACATGTTTGTTTTAGCATGCTGACAGTCTACACTCATGCCAGCAGATCTCGAATTGGGCCATAGACATTATATCGAAACTATTAGTAGCCCACTATTGATATCATTAATAATAGTATATATACAGTCTATGATTTGGGCACAGTGATACTTCCAGCTAAATGCTGTTATCAGTATGTTCACAATGACAACAGCTGAGGTTGATGAAATCTCATTATTTTTGCTGAAATTTGGTCAAAAACCAAACTATTGGGCAAAATAGCGCTTTTCTAGACACTCAAAGTCGCTTTACGCTGTCAATTATTCATTCACACACATTCATTCCAGTGGAGGTAGCTACGATTGTAGCCACAGCTGCCCTGGGGCAGACTGACAGAGGCGTAGCTGCCATTCTGCGCCTACGGCCCGTTTGACCACCAGCTCAAACAATCCATTTGTGGGCATTCACACCAGGCAAGGTGGGCGAAGTGTCTTGCCCAAGGACACAACGACCATGAAAGAGGTTACAGGGCGGAATTGAACTGCTGACCCTCCGATCATTGACCGACCCGCTCTACCACCTGAGTCACAGCTGCCCCAGATGATGATAGTATTGGATGAAAAGAAAGACAATCCATCTGAAAACATTTTACTAAAAGGTCACAAATGTCAACTTTGTTGTGGGTCTAGAGGAGAGGCCAGGGCATCTCTCATACCATAGGATTCATCTTCTGGTAACCATGAACATCCAAAGTATATTACTATTAGTCTAATAAGTGCTGAGAAACTATCTATATTTGAACAGGCTGTATAATCTATTTTAACACAGAAAAATGTGAAATACTGACACATACATAATCAGAGACGGACTATACATAATTGTAGACAATATTTAAATTAACTGACACACTCCATATCTCAAATTTAACAACACTGTCTCTCTGATAAATCTAACTTTCTTATACAGTGTCTCTAATCTGTTTTTAAGGCCACTTTCTTTGTAACAGAAATGCATAGCTACAGTGGAGACAATGCTGAAGCCGTCTGAGTTCGTATTTCCCACTGTACTTGCACTGATGTGACTTGATTTGCCACCGTAACAAAGAGGGGAAAAAACATGATGTTTAAGGTCACGGGTGGGTCGACAATCCACCGCACCAGGAAGATAAACCACTTCTTCACTGAAGAGATCTGCAAAACACACAGAGCGCCAAACTACCTATTCTCCTGTTGAGAGAGGAAACAAGTGAGCCAGAATTCAGGCCAGATATCAAACTGAGAGGGTAATGAGGTGATGTGGTGTCTGATCTGTGGTCAAGATGGAGTTCCACCTCTTATTAATCAAACTACTGGCAGCTCCTCTGAGTAGTTCCCCTCGTGTTTCCTGACAGGTTGCAACAACTGGTGGTGTCTGCGTTACATTTCAACACAACGTAATCCAGAGGTAGAAATTTATCCTTTTTCTATACCTGCTGTATCCTGTGGATTGTTGTAGGGGGCTGGAACCACCACAAAGATATAGTCCTCTTAAATTTAAGATTGTATGTCTGACTCTGCTTTATTATGTAATTGTTGCCCTCATTCTGAATCACTTTACGTAGTTAGAGCTGATTTTAAAGTCAACCTCACAGCGACATTACGCTGGTGGTAGAATATTTAGGCACCGGCGCAAGAGTCGGACAAGTTATTAAATCATCCGCCGCTGTTATAAATTCTCTCCATAGATTACACGGCGCTCTTTTACCTGATTCTCTCAGGCAGTTTGTTAATATATTATCTGGGAAGCAGAGTTTAAGGAGAGTAGCTGAGAATAAATGTGTTACTCCATGGTACAAATTCAATACGTTTTTTTTTGTTTTTTTTTAATGGGAAATATAACAATAGAATAGAATAGAATAGAATAGAACTTTGTTGATCCCCTTGGTGGAAACCTTAGGGAAATTGCTGAATGAACTAATATAAATAATATATAAAATATGAACACCGTTTATATTTCCTGTTCTTCTCTGAAGTCAGTAACTGTTATAGTGGGCGACTCATACCCAGGGATTGGACAATGCATTGGTTGGTAGGAAGGCGGAACCTGTGTTGGAGATGATGCAGAACATTTCTTTACCTGCTGCCTTTCCTGCACTGCTTAACAGTTTGAGAAAAAAAGTTAATGCAGGTCTCACATCTCTGGAATGTGTATTTTGAGGTTCAGCTCAATATACCACAGATTGTTCATAACATGCCTGTATTAGCCCTGCTTTTAGCCCTGTTTCACAGTCTGTTGATTTATAGCCGACCAAGCTGCTGCTGTCCACGACCCACATAAGGAAGAGGGCTGAAGGGACACCTTCCCAAAGCCCAGCTCCACCCTGAGACCAAACCACTAAAGTCTCACAGACTTAACATCAGAGCAGTAGTGTTTGAGTGTGTGAAGGCTCAAAATGATTTCAAAAGAAGGAAGGAGACACTGCTGTAATGGTGCATATTGCTTGTAAGCAAAAGCATCACCTTTAAAAATATTGAATTTTGGACTTTATTCGCAGCCTTATCAGTTGCTCAGTTGATCACTCCTTGTTTGTGTCATTACAGTGTTCACACATTTTAGCAAACTACCAAAAGTCATGAGAGCCACGAACATCTGTAAATCCTCTGCGGATGTTTGATTGAAAATATAAACAACACCACAAATGTGCAATAAATAACCCAGCAAGATGCTGTCGCTTACAGATAAACTTCCTACCAGATTTCTTCCCGACACCACCCAAGCTCAGTTTGTGTACGTTTTGTGTACGGCAAGACAACAGCTTTTATAGGTCACCAGTTTTCTCTTTGAACTATGGGCGACTTCCTTGGGAACGTCTGCAGACATGTGCACATATGACCAACCAAAAGTCCACATCAGAGCCTTCACATACTTGATGACTTGACAGCAGGGCAGTCCTAAACCCTCACACACTTAGCAAAACACACCTTAAAGTCCATGAGTGTGGAGACTGTGATTGGACCTTTCCCACTCCATCACTCTATTTGCAGTGACACTCGTTGAACGAAGTGGAATTCATAAAGGTGTGGTTTTTATACACAGCACCAAGCTTCAGGAGGAACTTCCCTCTCTGATACAGACGTGGAGAAAAATAAAGCTTCCTTGTTAGCATTTCTTTTTCATGTAAACATCTTTTTAACTCTGCCAAGCTGCTTAGTTTTCACAACAGTCCTCGTGAATATACAGCACTTTCACTTCACACTAACTCTACCGTCCACTTTGCAAGTATACAAATGGTCACATAGAACTTACATCTTCACTGACAAGTCTTCCATGACGAAAACAATTTGGCGTTGTACATCGTCAGTAGTTCAGCGACGATGCAGACTCACAGCTGAGGAGCTTCATGCCCCAGTTCCACTCTGTTGGTTTGGTTGTGACATCACAACAGGGTGCAAAGCTGAATAGTTCCTTCAGTGACACTTTCTGATCTACAGAGAAAAGAAAAGCAAGGAAGTGGCCTTTCCTCTTATTTTGTGAGTCTATAGACACACTGGGAACATGTAATTAGGTTCAAAACGAATGAAAATTTGGATTTGAATGCACATCATTAGTGTAAAATGGCAAATCTTAAAAGCATTTGAAATGTAAATCAAAGACTTTCGTTTAAAGACTTCTAAGTTTCAGCTTCTGATTTGCGTTCTCTCTCCAGTGTGGAAAATATTGGAACATCTCTGAGTTTTGGACTGCTGGGAGACAAATTTGAATTTCGGGACAAAACGGATCATTTGATTAGATTTGAACAATTGAGACATTTTTTAAATCACAATATGGCCAAGTGCAATATCCAAATAGCAGGGTCTGTAATTTTTTTTATCAAAGGTAAGTATTTGTCAGCACATATCACTCTAAATGATCACGGAGGCGCTAGAGAGGCCCTGGCCTGCAGATCATATTCTCCAGCCATAAGAGAACATGCTTGCTTGGCACAGGTAGCAAAAATTGCACCATTTTTATGCTTGTTTTATTCAGTGGAAAAGAAATGCAAAAATGACCAGTACCTCTAAAACTAATGTGTTTTAATTACATCTGATAAAAATAATCACAGTTTGTTTTTTTTTTGTACACTGTTCAGCCTTATATTTAATCTGATACTTAGAATAATTGCAGCTCTAGAATAAACACTTTAGGTAAATCACTGCAGTGCACAACCAGCTTGGTCAAGTGCAGAGATTTAAACACAGAAGGTGCATAGTACCACCTGGTGGATATTTCTGTACTGCAATTCAATTATCAGACTTAAAAAGTCTTCAAGATTTTGAACAGGAATATGCACTTCACCGACATTACACAAATGCAGTCTTCATGTGTACAGTGCAACAGCTTTGACAACCTTTTAAAGTTAAAAAAAATATATACTAAAGAAAAAAGTAAGAGTAATGTTCAATTGAATTTCTGACATTTATTAAATGTTCTTTCTTCCATGTTTTGGAAAAAAAAAAGAAAAGAAAAAAACCTCTATAATTTACACTCCAAATAAGAACTAACTACACAGCAAAGATAGTATTTCAGCGATCAGGTAGACTTCCTGTAGAAGGACAGCATGTCGTCCAGACTCTGAGGAGGGTCCTGGGGGGGCTGCTGGGTCTGGCTCTGGCCTGCAGGCTGAGCTGGATACTGAGGAGGATACTGGTTTGGGTACTGTGGGGGGAATGGAGGAAAGAGGTGTGGTGGACCTGCAAACTGAGGAGGTGGAGGAGGTGGAAATGGAGGATAAAACATAGGAGGGGGATACTGGGGGTTAAAGGAAGGAGCTGAAAGTGACAGGCCGTCTGAAGGTTTTGGTTGTGATGATGCTGGAGGACTTGGTTGAGGTTGAGGAGGTGAAGAAGCAGTTGTAGGCTGAGGTTCTGGTTCTGCTTTGCTCTCAGAGATTCCTCCTGGGCCTGTCATCCACTTAAAGGACATGTTGGGTTTATTATCCTGAGTTTTAGTCTTTCCTAGTTTTGGTCTCCTCTCATCAGCAAAGTATGCAGAGGGAGGTGCAAATTCTGAATCTCGCTCATCCCGACGGCGAGTTTTCCACTCGCTAAACATGAACTCTGAAAGAAAAAAACAAAGTGGTGTTCAGGATGTTAAAGTTTCAGTATGCATGACAGATGAGAAACCCGGATCTTTAAAAGCCTCTCTACAAGTGATAAAGATGCTGGACCACAACTCACCACCTGCAAAAAGAAAATTAATGCAAACATCGTCAAGTTTCCATCCAAAGGCAGCAAATTTTCAATGAAGCTACAGAAAATTGGCAAGAAAAAGACTAATTAAAGTGCACTTCCATTCAATATCGTTATACAAATATCAAGAGCTGGACACATCAAGATAAACAGCTGCTGGCAGTAAGTCTGCCATCAGGTGAGTCCAGAGGAAAGACTGCAACAGGCTGAGGCAATGAAGTGAGCACCAGTCAAAGAGGAGAGTAAAGCAAAAAACATACTGGAAACACAGTATTTATGTCTGTTTTCGGTATGAATGTGATGAGCATTACAGTCTCTTTATCAGTCCACACAGACCTAATGTTTGTATGTGCCACCACTGTTAAGCTTCTGCTTCTACTGCACTTTTCCACATTTTGCTTTTTTCTCCTTTTGCAAAGTCCAAAATCTTATTTGTATTATTTAGAATTTGTCTTGAATTTCCACTTTTCCATAAAACCAGTGAATGGAAAAGTGCTTGATAACTTTGCAATACCACAGCCTTATAATCCTGTCATTGTCAAATGGAAAAACAAATGGCCATAAGCCTCAAATGTTTGCAACGTCAACATTAAGCAGGTGTGTAGAGAAACAGGCGACACCGTAATCACATCAGATCTACAAAAAGCTTTGTACAGATAATAGGACAGGCCTCTTTCATTCTGACTTGTCATAGTAGGAAAAGTGCAGATGCTACGTATGATATTAATGGTGTCACTGCTCTATTTAAGCATGCAAGTGTGACAATGAACTAGCATTCACAAGATCATGATAATGGACGTGAAACTGTTAAACTGGCTTACCTTTGCCCCTGTCCCATTCTCTGACATGGGGAACACCCGGTTTGGTGTCCTTCCTCTCCTGGATCTCCACGACCACCTTCTTCAGTGTGCTGACCTCTGGACACTCCTCTGGCAGAGGGGCGGGCCCTAATGTTTCACCTTCATCCTCATCTGCTAGGGCAAAGGTTTTACAACAATCCTTTAATAACATACATGTGATAACTGTACTGCAGCATGCGAACATACATGTTACCCAAAAAAGCTCGTATTTTACAGTGTATTAACTGTTCATTTCAGAAACTGATTTGAAGTGGGTGTAGATTCTCACCTTCATTCTCCTCTTCCTTCTCCTCTTCTTCAGTGCCATCCAGCTTGGCCTTCTTCTTCCTCTGCCTCACCTTGGCCAGTCGAGCCTGCAGGATGGCCTGCCTCTTCTCCTTCAGTCGCTCTCTCTTAGTGCGTTGATCTGTCGTCTAAAGGAGGGACAGACGTAAAAGAGAAATAAAGATTGAGCAGTGTGAGAGGCATTTATCATCTGTTCAGATTCAAAACTGATTTTATTACTACTAACAATACAATATTAATACTAACAAGCGCACAAGGTATGAACGTGTGTGAGTAAAATTTGGCTCTGAATGACTGTTCACAACCTTAAATACATATCTGCTGTCTGGCTGCAGTATAAGGACATAGGATAGAGAACAAAGCTTTCATGTTTTCTGCTCCAGACACTTGAATAAAGTGTACAGTGAAATATAAGAAACTAGTATTCAAGACTGGATCCAAGACTAATGTAAATTATATGGGAAATGATTCCTTTTCTAAGTTTTTTGATGCTGACATTATATTTGTAGCGTCTCCTATCTTTGCACACTCATGCATGCCATGTGGTTAAAACTATTGTCTAGATGTTGGATGTCATTTTCTCTGGTCTGAAACAGTAGTACTGTCATCTTGCCCAGTCATTTGTGGAAACATCTGTTTGTTGAACAGCAGCTCACCTGGTCTCTAAGCATGTCCAGTGTATCTCTCTGCTTTCTGCGCTGCTCTGCATCCTGAGAGAAAGCGAAGTAGCCCACACCGAGCTCTCGAGCCTCTGAGATGACGAAGACATTTTTTTTTTGAAACAGTAGCACCACACTTGTAAACCAAGGAACTTGGCATAGTTCCTAATGTGTGTAGAGAAGCTTTGCTCATGATGCTAACCTTGTCCTCTGATATCCTCATAGTGGATTGGTCCAACAGGCCTCTTCATTGCTTCCTCTTCCTCCCTCTCCCACTCCTGCCTCTGCAGCTCTCGGCGCATGTCCTCTGACAGTAAATGTTTGTCAGATCTAAAGGGAACACTCATATTTAAAACAGTTGGACTTCAAAACTTTACATTTAACATCCCCACTTCATAAAAACATCACCTGCAAAAACCTATTACTTATGGAAATAATTACCCTTTCCCTTTGAAGTCTTGGTCCATTTTCTTAAAATCTGGAAGGTCTTTCTTCATGCATCTTCGAGATCTTCCCAAAGCATCCACAAAGTCCACCCTGAAGAGAAGCAATAGATTGTAAACTGCTCATGACTTCAAAATTAATGAATGAATGTATACACTTTTACATGTTGTATTTGTGATGTTGTCATGCTGACAAGTGTATTTGAAGTTGCTAGGTATGGTGGTAGCACTAGTTTAACATTAATCACTGACATATACCTGTGTTTTTCAATTCATACAGATAACATATACAGGTTTAGACATACTAACTACGCTTTCCAACACCAAACGGATGAAACAAATCAGACATTACCATTCCTCATCTGGGTTCTGAGGAGGTGGGATTGGTGCTGAGCTAGTACTTTCTTCATCCTCTTTCTCCATCTCCTTTTGTGCAAATGTTTCTTTCTTTTTGTCAATAATCTTCTGGGTGAAATCCACAAGGAATAGTCCCTCTGTCTCTTCATCTGATGAATTACAAGACAAGTTCAACACAAAGTAAATACACCTTATGATACAGATAAGGAGAACAGAATAGAATCATTTTTATTGATCCCCCATTGGGGGAAATTTACACGCCACAGCAGCATATAGAAAGAAAGTACAAGAAAATAACAATAATTAAGTAATATGCATCCCCCGGTGTTCGCACATAGTAGGTCCAAGGCCCAACCGTCTTCAGTTGGGCCTTGGACCACACACTGGCCGAATGTGGGGAAAGTGCTAGAGAGCGATGTATGATTAAAGTCTCCTGAGATGACGATCAGAGACTGAGGGTGTGATGTTTGCTGCTGGGACACTAAACTGTGGATGAGCTCACAGGCCGCAGCAGCATCAGCAGGGGGGGGGGGTGTAAACTGCTATCGCCAGGAAGTGCGAAAACTCCCTCGGCAGGTAAGACGGCCGTGTGCTCGTTTGTGCAGCATAAATGTCAGGTATAGTTATAATTTAACTTCAACACCAACCTGGAAAGTCTCCTTTTGTCATCTGTTCGTAGAGTCTGGCCTTCTCCTCCAACTTACGCCTGTTTTGAGATAAGAAATAAGGAATTAAAGGTTTTGGTCACCTGTGTTATGACAGTGTATCCTCTGTACTGTTGAACTCACCTGGATGTATCAAGGCTGTTCTGTTCTTCTGCCAGCTGTTCTGCATCTTTCTCAGCTCTTGCTGAAACACCAGCGTTTTGTTTAGTCCAGATGTTAGGTTTCTACACAGGAACATGAAGAGCGAGTTAGAAACCTCAGTCTGTCTTTAAACAAACTAGTAAAAATACATACATGCCCAAAAATCACTCATTCTGTACCTTGACTGTGGGTTTTGCTTTGAATCCAGCACCAGTAGTTTCTTGCCCAAGTTTCTGCTGTTTAAACTGCTCTTGTTTCCTGTAGAGTTCAGCTTTAAGGTCCACCAGCTGAAAGAAACAAAGCGTTAACGAAGCATACTTTTTATTGGGTTATTTGGCCGCTAACAACTCGGTGTGTGCTAATAACATAGCCTGACAAAAGTTAGCTAATGTTAGCGGGTTTTATCTTTTAAATGAACGTCACACAGTCACAGCGACTCTCGGTTAAACACATGTGAGGCTGCTCATCAGTACAACTCACCGATGAAGCCGTCACCGCGAAGGGTTTCTTCTTTTTATCCATGTTTATTAAACGTGTACTTCACCATAATCTCCAGACTGCTGCTGTTAGCCGAGTTTGACTTCTTCTTCGTTGGTGTCTCTCTCGCTGCCACACCATCTCTTTACCGCCACCTACTGGCGTCTTTTTCAAACTGCCACAATCTGACATACTACGTATGTATATGTGTGTGTGTGTGTGTGTGTGTGTGCGCGTGTGTATGTGTGTGTGTGTGTATACATATATATATATATATATATTTCAGCCATGTTTCTGGCTCATTTCAGTCTCATTTGCAGCTTTAAGTGGAGCAATAACTACAAACTGAACTGAGCTTTGTGTAAATCAAGGAAAATACAGATTGTACACACATTTAAAAGGTAAAAGCTGTGCAGCAATCCTGTGTACAGTTATCTGCTTTGTTGTGATCATGTGCAAAACAATTTGGAGATGCTTTGTAATACTGCTCCTGAAATTCTCATGGTAGATCAGCCCCTTAATGGCTTATTTTCCCCTCTTTCTGCCACCGTTTCACTCAATGCAGACTATTTGATATCGTATGTCAGCAGGGGGCCAGTTCTTAGCGGGAGTTTAAGGCCAATGTTACATCAAGTCCTTTGACCTTTAACATTGTGCCGTATTTAGAAATTTAAAAATTCCAGTATACACTTGGGGCATTACTGACTTGGTAAAATTCTAAGAACAAGTACTATGTCTCACATAATATCATCTCAAAGACAATATGCATGAGGCTTTACATATCAACTATTACTAATCAGATAATAAAAAATCCAATTTGATACATCTCAGTTTTACTGATATCAAGAATTTAGACCAATGATTTCATGAGGGCTTGTATTTGTAATACCAGGAGCTGATGTTACAGTGTTTGACCACATCAGACATTGTTCAAGAGAATGAAATGCCATATAACATACCCAGTGTAAAAAGTGGGTCTGAGCATAAGCTACAGCTGTATAGACTTGAAAGTATAATAAAACTACGATAAAAGTGCAGTCACTTAAAGAACAGCACACATTCTCATCTCAGAAAGAGGCAAACGGCAATAAAACAGCCAACTTGCAGAACAGTCAGAATGCCGTTTCCCGTTAAACTCCTTGTTTTGTAACTTTTTTATCAGTAAAAACTATTAAGAAAGGGCTGCATCACATGCTGAAAGGTTTTCTTATCAAATATAAATCTGCTGGCTCAAATGTAAACGTCAAATTCTTTGGTTTAATTTTTTATTTCAGACACAATGAATGTGCTGTCTTTATTGCTGAGCATTTGGACTCTTTGATATCAAGTTAATAATACAACTTTACTGATATAAAGTCAGTGTTCTCTCAGAGTAAACACATTTAGAGATTAGTTGCACTTTCAGTGTATTATAGCTTTTGTCCAGGAGCCCAGTCTTGTTATGTTGCTATGCACACTCACAATAGCCTGAATTAGTCTGATTTATCAATATCCCTGTGACTGCAGTGCTATTACCTCCATACCCAACTAAATAGATAGGATGATAAGAAAGTCTGACATCAGGTCACAACAGAGAAATGCCCACTTTCTTATCAGTTTAAACATTTGAACAGTCCTGTGCTACCAAGATATGACAGCAAGATTACCTGTTGCTATCATGTTTAATGTGCTTTTAAACCAACATGACAGTTATATAAAGGTATGAAGTCAAAGTATCCGGAGCAATTATTCTGAGGGATAGTGAACAGTCAGTATCCGATTAGATTTTTCATCCTTTAACACTGGTAGGTTTCTTCATCACACTGTGTACCGCACATCTGGTAGAGCAGACTTTTGATGATTTCACCATGTTTATGAAAAGAAACACCTGTGTGCTGGCTGTTCTGCTGTGTTCTCTGACCTTGTGGTGCAAGTCGGCAAGCGCAGGCTCCAGCTTTCTCAGCCCTTCGCAAAAACCTCAGGTGAGATCATTTCTGTCTGAGAGCCTTCGAACAAAACACCTCTGGATGAAGTCGTTATGAAAACATAGATGGAAACCGAAAAGGGGTTCACCTTCGTGATTTGAGCCATTGTCACTTCTGTGTGTGTGTGTTTTGCAGTGTGGTTGATGTGCTTCTTAGAATTTGATGCTTTCACTTGTGATACTGAAGCAGATGTCAATCAACACTCAACTGTTCATTAGTTTTGAACCAATGAGAAGACTAGTTTATCTAAACTTATGCCATCCTGATCAGTCCCATTTTTGATTGGTCAAACTTCTAAATTTAAGTTAGGCTACTCGTAATATTTGCATGAATGACTCGTAATTAAACTAACACTTCCCCTTTTATGTAAATTTTATGTCAAAAAATTATCTTTTATGGTATTTGAATGGAGTCTTTCAGTATTTTTGACAGTCTGCAGGATTTTTTTTTCCGCTATGAAATGGAAACTTTAAAAATGAAATTAAAATGTAATTTCCAAATGGTAAAAAACTACATAAAATTTCAAATAGTTACTGTATTGTATGATGCATATTCAATACCTGTGAATTAGGTCAGTTTCCTTGACTTTAAACTGCTAAAGTGAAGATGAATTTGTTGCAGTTGAAATGTATATTTCTTTCAATCACAGAACAGGGGAAAGTCCTCCAGAGTCGGTCGCCAGGCCATGGAGGAGAACATTGCATCCGCTGAGGACAACAGTCTCACGGTGAGTGTAAAAAAAATACTCACGACTAAAAGCCCACCGCACACAAATCATCACTGTAGCTTTGTGATCAATCTTTCCTCGATGTAGATCAGTGCCCCCTTTGAAATTGGCATCACCATCAGTGAAGATGATCTGGATGAGTACCGTGTCATACTGCAGGAGATCGTGCAGCATCTGCTAGGAAGCTCAGAGACTTCAGGTTTGTCCTGCTCTTCTGTTCTTCGGATTAAAAATGTGCTCCTTTTTACCAATTTAAATAACATAATTAGTTTTAACATATTGTTTCCTTTTTGTTTCAGAGAGATTGTCACCACCTTAAAGATCTTGGACATGAGATCTGCTTCATTAAGATGACCACTACATTAAAATAAGAGTTAAAATAAGTAGCAGTGGCATGTAAACATTTCATTTCTTTAAAAGCTTCATGTGCTCTTTAGTTCAAGGCTCAGATGTTATATAAATACCAATATATGCAAGAGAAATAACTGATATTCAAGGTTTTACAGGTTGAAAATGTTAGCCAAGTGAAATCATGTGTAAAATTTTACATAACAACCATGATCAACCTCTTTCTTGAGGTTTCAGCATCCTCATCAGTGATGGAGTTGGTTCAGCTACTATTACATTCCCCTGTTGTGGAGCTTAAAATGAGATTTTCACAGAATATAATTATATATAAAGCTTGATGTAAATTTGCCAAACCACTGTTCTGAAATAATTTCCGTACTCAAATGTGTACATCTGTAGTGAAATAAATGTCTCTCGAACATCCATCATCAAGTCTGACCCTATTTTTAAAGCTCCTGTATGAGCAGATTAATGACTCATATCCAAACCTTTATGATGATCTTGTGTGATGCAGTATTAAAAATAGCCAGTACAGACGATACTGCGCAATAAATAATCAACCAACCTTTTGCCCTCTATCTCATTGTTCATGGAATCTTAACAACATATCAAGGAATGAGGAAGGGATGTTTAGGAATATTCCTTCATTGCTTTAATTTGGTGATAAAAATATGACTTTTTGGTTGTGACACAGCTCTGTATTATGTTTACAACTGAAAAAAATAACCACAAAGGGTCAGTGATTTACCTCTTGAATGAACTGCATCTTTGTGTGAAATGCTACAGCCATGGTTTAACTACCTCCTGAGGGTCTGTACCTTTGCAACTACAACCACTGGCCTGAATGTTGTTTTATTCACTTTAAGAAACACTGAATCACCAACTTACAAAAACAAGGCTGCAAAACATCCTGTCCAAACCTCAGTAACTAGGTCACACACACAGCCAAGCACACACTGCGTGATGCTCTTGTCTGTCCTTTGGACCACTTTAAAGCCTTTAATAATCAGCACAGATATACAACCACGAACATAGTGTGCTCTGACCTACATTCTAAAAAGGAAATAAAACAAGGTTTCATTGAGAAACTGGCAAAATGTGAAATCTATGTATTTGAACCCAAACTTCTTGTCAAACCTTATGTACAAGAGACACATCTACCCATCTACCATTAATGCAGTCCTCAGATGGCCTGCTCCAACCACTGGAAAATGTCACACGGCTAATCAATCTCAAAATAAAAAGCACTCAAGCCAAATGTGTGACGAACAAGGTGCTACTGAAGCAAGCTAATGGACCAGTCTCACAGCTGCTTCCTTTCCTTAATAAAGTATCAGCTTTGCTCAAACACCACACGTTTGCTTCATCGATTTCACATCTCTATGCTCTCTTCCATCAGCACTTGTGTTTGCATTAAGGAGTAATTAAACAAAACATATCTGAAGAACATGGAATCACGACTGAAGGCTTTTAAAACACCCCTAGTGCATTAAACCAACTAGACTACAGAGCACAATCCACACAAACAGCCAGACAAGTTAGAAAAGGCAACGTGAAACAATTGAAACACGACATTAATCCGTAAGAACAGTAAAACAAAATATGACCTATTTGACAGAAGAAATTTTCATTGTAGTACTTGTTTTTCTGCCTTGTATTCTTTGAAGATCTCTTTGTGAGTCTTTCAGGTAGATTAAAATAACATTACTCCTCCGCACTCCTACTTCTGTTCACAAAGGACTGGTAAAACAAAAACAAAATCTACACAAGACAGCACAGCCTGATTCTGTTTGTCCACCTCGCTAGCTTTTCTGCGCTCTGAAGATTATATACCGTACAGCTGAGTGGTGTTGTTTCGGATGGTGTCCAGGACCGTGGCCATGTCTTCCCCCTTCAGCAGACTCAGCTCCTGCAGAGTGTGGATGCCCATTCCAGGATGTGAAAAACGGCAGACATCTTTACCGACCTGTTTAGAGTGAGACAGGAGAGAAATGGTTAACACTGGTCCGCTTCTAAAGAGCACCTCGGACTGGACAAGACAGGGATTCATATGAATGGCTGACTAATACAGGTTTTTTAAATACCCAATTTAATTAAGTTTTTTGACATGATGTTTTCAGAAATCACTTAGACCACCGTAAAGCACAACAACTAAAATTATTACATTGCTCTTTTTAAAGGTGCTGTCTGCAAGTCTTGAGAAACACTGTAGATATTTAGTTAATTTACATATTAAGATAACGAGCTCTTTTCCTGTAGACAAGTACAAACGAGTATGAGCAAGGAAGCGAGCACGGGACACATTGGAATAGCTTTTTGGTGGATCTGTCTGAGCTATTTTGTTGGTTTTCCATTTATCCTTAAGCTCAGCAAACAATTATTCAGAAACATTAAAAAATAGTTTAGGAAAATGATGACATAAATTGAAATGGTATGTGTATTGGTCAATGCTGTTGTAAGCAGAGTTTTCTTCAGATCAATATTAAAATATCATCTAGGTTATGGCTGATTATTTCATCAATTTAAAATTGAAAATGTAATATGAAACAATGCAATTTGCATATCACAAAAACTACAATTTAGGACATACGTGGTATGGCTATTAAATAATGACACTAATTCTGTAATTCAATTTAATTTAATTTATTTTGAGCAGATTGACATTTTCAGGGATTGCATATAGTTGCCCAGTGACAAATGTATGCTAAGCGGTTTTAGCGTGCTCACTGCAGTTTGTCTCATTATTGTAAAGTCCCAAACATTAGCTCTCTTTCAATGAGAACAAGGGTTTTAGTGCTATTTTTGCATAAAGTGGATGTTGATCTTTGACTTCTTTGCTGAATGAAAAACTCCAGGCAAAAGAGCAACGGTGCATTAAGTGCTCTATGAGCCAGCATCAGTGTCACAGTCAATTTTAGCTGAACTTGACACAAAGTGATTTTACCTGCTGTAATTATGATACACATTTAGCTGGTTCACAGACACATTTGTATTAATTTGCAGTTAATAGCATAAGAGCTGGCTTAAAGTTTTCAGATCACTACTGACATTACAGCTGTGTTGTGGATTTTCACACCTGTCTTGGCAGGAAATATGGTGCATCTGTCTCCAACACAATGCGATTAAGAGGAATTTGGCGGACAGCATTTCGGGCATTGGTGGCGCTGGGATAGGTGATGACGGCTGTGAAGCCCACATACAGGTTGGGGAACTCTGTGAGGAAGGGCTCAATCACTGGGTAGCTGTTTGTGAAACAGTGCCTGAACACCACACGAGTACATAAGAAAGAAAATTCACAGATTAGGAGCACAGGTCCCTAAAGTTATAGCCCTTAAGGTTTCAGTCCTAACTGATGTGAATTTGCAAAAATAAACCTAACTGCTGACACAAATGACCAAAATTAGGTTATTTTATATAAAGCAAAGAGTAAAGGTGCAGTCACATGACATTTCCACTCATCTTCACTACCTTCAAATTACACTACTACACAGGGAGATCATTTGAAAATAAATGGAACGTTTCATCCACATACAGTATCAAATATGGGAGTTGAATTTATGAAAATCTTTAGAACTTTAAACTGAACAGATGATCAACAAAATACAAAATGACAAAAGTAATGACTAACATGAAAGTGCAAAATGAGAAAAATAAGTCAGTGATTCTACTCAACACAAACCTGTGAATTTTGTATTCCCTGGGGACACACTTCTTCATGATTGTCAGCAGGTCATCATCTGCGTCCCTGCAGTGGATCACCAGAGGCTTCTGCATGGCCACAGCCAAATTAAGCTGACGCTCAAACACCTTTACAGAGAAGCACAGAAACAAAACAAGCATCGGGGCGTTTTTATTTTCAAGATTTCACTCACAATACACAATATATTTCTAAATACTTAATAAATGTCTTTCCTAAGTAGTGTGAGATAAACAGTTACCAGATAACAAAGTTGTATTTAAATGAGACCGTGTCAAATTAAACTCTACCTCTTTTTGTCTGGAGGTTTCAGTGGAGTTTTTGTGGGAGTAGTCCAGCCCCATCTCACCAAATGCCACAGCTTTTGGATGCCTCATTGCCTTCAGTATATTTTGCTCTTGAATGTTTGAATAGTTCTGGGCAAAGTGGGGGTGGCACCCAAATGCCCCCCATACCTTGTCCTCAGCCAGCAGACGTTCCCACAGGGCCTCCTTCACCATGATCTGAGGGTTGCAGAAGTCTGTAATACAGCCTTGAAACTGTGGAGGAAAGCTGCTCTGATAAAACCTTCTAAAGCTGCTGAATGAGCCACAAAAGCGAAGTTTTCCGTAGAGCATGTCTAGATGGCAGTGTGTGTCTATGAAACCGGCCTGACTGTCCTGGTGGGGGTAACTGGTCCACAAAGGCTTTGCCCCCAAGGACAATCTTTTCTTTGGACCACGAGTAAAGGAGTTGGTGGGGTCACGCTGAGAAAAGCCACCTTCCGATTGTCTGCGTGAGGTCGTGGAGCACAAGTGGGGACTTGATAGTCTCCTGTTTGAATTTAACGGCAGCGCAAAGGGATCAGTTAAGCAGGCCACAGTGCTGGATGAGGACAAAGTCTCAGTCTTAACCCAGGAAGCCTTTGAAGAGCCCATGTTTGGTAGGTTGGGCTGCTTGAATGAGACATAAACTGTTCTCTGTGGTGATGAGAATGGCATCTGTGTGTTCTCAGCAGCTGCCTGGATGGTCTCAGTTGTGTCATTACTGGATAAATAGGTGAGAGATGTAACTCCCTGGGTATTCACTGAAGGATTCTGGTGTCCCTGGCTGCTCTCTTGAGTTGCGAAATAAGGCAAAGAGTCTGAAATACACTCCAGCTCAGTGAGGGATGAGTCACAGTCCTCGGTTTTCAATACATTTTCCTGAACAAGTAACTTGTCTGGGGATGTTGTCTCTGTAAATGTAGGGTCTTCAAAAACAAATTGCCTGAGCGAATCCTCTCCTTTTAGCACAAAACTCTGAAAAATATAAACATATGAACAAATATCCATCTTTCTTGAGCTTGTATTCCTCAAATGTTTGATAACAGTCACAATGAATTAGGAACCAGTTCTTGTGTAAAAATATTAGTTGCTTTTTACTTTCAAAGAGTAAAAATAAATCAGCTAAATTAGCTCTAATTAAATTACACACAATTACAAACAACAGCTGATGTTTCACTAAAAGATATTTAAATGATTTGTATGCAAACAAAACTAAAACAAAAGTTAGATCCCTTGGTAATGGCTGACTTACCCTTAGATCAGTCTTTAGCTCTGAGCTGTCATCTTGGGTTTCTGTGTCCTCCAACACCTGACTGGGGGACCACTGATCCTCTTTGATGGTGCCATTGTCCTCGAATTTACTGTCAGGTCTGATCGAGAAGCAGGCAGTATCCATGATCTTTCTGTCAAGGTGCGCTGGATTAGGCACTTCATTTGGTGCAGGTGATGACACAAGTGACAAAGACCCGCTGTTGGAGTCAGTCCTTGGGCTATGAGCAGTGCTGCACCTTGCTGTTCTGCTGTCAATGGCTGCAATTAACGCCATCCTACAGATCGCCTTTGAGGCTTCCTCAGGTGTCCTCTTTGTGTTTTTCAACATGACAGATTGAGATGAAGATGGTGATGAATGTTGACTCTTTATGGATTCCAGCTGCTTGGGTGAGTTGTTGCTCAGTTTGTCCTGTGCCAAACACAGATGAATGGAAAGTTTCTCGATTAGAAACAAACAATTCAGGAGCTTTCCCATTTAAAAATCTAGTGAAAAACACATTGAATGTACCATTAAATGCGAGCATGTCACAATTCATAGTAAAAACTTACTTTTAAAGTTCTACATGTCTCAAATTTTTTCTTCGAAACCTTCCTAAGCTTGACTTTGCCTAAAGACGGCTCACTTTCATCAAGCACCTCCATTTTTCTCTTGGGAGTGTCCAGACTCAGTGCTCCAAGGCCCTTGGATGCTGGAGAATCACTGAAGGTCAAAGAATTTGAACCTTCATTTTGGGATATATTCTGGGGAGAGGGTGTGCCGGAGCCAGCATTCGTGTCCTGATGATGTATGGGTGAGGTGACGGCACTTCGTCGCCACGTAAACTTCACCTTCTCTCTGCTGCTGTCCATGCCTGTGATCCTAGTCCTACATACAATTGATGAAAATGAATTATCTGATCTGTGTGAGCATCAACCAGAACAGTCCTGTGAGGAACAATGTGATTTGTTGACAGCAAGTCAACAAATGCAGTTTGCAGTCAAGAGCAGGACATACCCATTTTATCATTTGGTAAACTGATCATGAACTGTTTTTCCTATAGATCACATCTGGATTTAAGAGTGACAGTAGAATTGCTGTCATGACAATTTAACAGTGGAATTCACAATCCCATATTACTACTTCTATATTTTCCTAATAAAACATCAGCTTTAAATACACCTTTTCAAATTGGCTTTTATCTGACTTGTATGACTCAAGTAAATCTTTAACTCAGAATGTTAAAGATTTACTTTTACTGCTGGATATTGTTACTTACTTGTGTCCTTCATCAATGCAATTTGTAACTATGGCTAGAAAAAATTGCAAATCAAACTTAAAATTATTTCTATATTCATAAAAGTGCAACATCATTTGGCGAACTACAACTTTGTCTAAGGTGGGCTTTGTTTTGTTACCTGACCAGTGTGACCTCCTTTTGCACTTAACATGTCTTTAACTCTTTTAGTCAGACAATATGGGATTTACTGAACTAACCCTCTGGTGTAGTACTCCAGGTTTTATTCACGTCACATCAAATTGCCAAAAGATTACACAATATGACAGGCATAAAATCAGAAATGTGCAGCAGCAAGATCACCTCTCAAGGGCAAAATTAGCAAATTAAATGGATACTAAAGATGTGGTGTTCTAGCTGTTCCAAAGGAATTTAAAGAATCCAGAACGGTGAAGGACAAAAACAAGTTGAGGATCAAGAAAGCAGTCATTGTCTGATGAGAGGCTTCTTAAAGTTTCTTCTTTACGAGGCCAGAAGAAGTCTTGGAAGGAGCTTGCTTAGCATCTGGCAGCTTTATCTGGATGCCATGGTGATCGTTTGCGAAAGCTCACAAAGATCGGAGTGAAAATCAGTGAACAAGAGTATTGTGGGGTGATGAATCAAGTCTGAAGCGGTGGTGTTGGGGAAGAAATCATGAATGCTGAAAATCAGACACATTTTAATAATTATGCCATTCCTATTGGACAGTGTCAAACATATTTTTTTAGCATGGCAACATTATGTTGTGAATTCATATTTGGAGGAAAAACAGCTAAGTAATCACTGACAGTGATGGACAGACCTCTACAGAGCCCAGACCTGAACATTATAGAGCTGAATATTATAGGATCATCTGGACAGAGAACAAAATCACAATGCCAAAGACCAACGATAAACTCTGGGAAGCGTTGAAGTAAGCGTGGTATGACATACCTCGATATTACCTGAGAAAATTTCAAGAGAGTCCACCAAAGACAGTTCAAGTTGTGAGATGCAAAGAGGAAGAAGTGCAAAAGAATGTCACATGGAATGGTGCCTTTGGCCTGTGGAAGCCATTTTGTTCTGATTTTATTTTGTGTTTTTTAATAATACTATGCACATACCTCCTGTATGTTCCAGAAGTGTCTTGATACAGGAACTGAAAAATAATTATGCATCGTCATTACAAGCTTATTTAAACAAATCTAATTGTGTTCTAAGACTTTCGCTCTATACTGTATTACAACAACTTCCACTTGGAGATGTGTCAGACAAGCTTAGGCTCCCAAATGATTGGAGAAATTAAAAGTAAAAAACAAACAAACACGGCTTTAGCGTTTAAAAGCACTAGTTGTAGTTGCGGGGTTGAATTTACTGTCTGATCGGGAATCGGAAAGAAAGCGCCTAAAGTGCACGGCCTCTGCTGGGAGACATTTTGGTCATGAACGAAGTCCTTACCGAGGACCTTCACTTTAGCTAACTAGCTACTAACGTTAGCTAACGGTGCATTCGGCGACTCAAATGTTGTCGCTGCAAACAGACATTTAATAGCCGCCAGTACTGTTAAAACTCGCGCTAAATAACCATAGATATAGTTGGCTAACAGCCTAGTCGGCTAAATGAGTGTTGCCTGAACGTGTTGAGTTGGGTTACCTTCTTCAGCAGAAGTAGAAGGAGCTACGGCCAGCTAATGATCCGTGATGAACTAGTTAGCCTTTCTCTATCCGACAACCGCGTTTCTGAACGAAAACAGTAAAACGTTTAATTGTCGAATTTAACATTGTGTGGCCTTAACTGGACCATTTTAACATTAACCGCTCGATGGCGTTTACGTGTGTGACCGTGACCGTGACCAGATCCACATCTCGCGAGATTAATACTGTTAGCGAGATGTAACTACTGCGCTATACACAGCTCGTGGCTGAAACCAACGTCAAGATGGCAAATAAATACATAAATAAATAAAGAGGCTGTATTTATTTGTCATCTGCAGTAAACATGCGGTGATGCATGCGTTGGGATAATTATGCAATCTAGTGACATAATTTACACTGAACGACATTTTAAATGTAACCTCAAAATGGTCCTGTTAGGTTGAATGAATAAATAAATGAATTAAATATCTATTTCGAACAAAAAATTAAAAATTAAAAACAAAATTTTAAAAAAAGGAAAAAAATGTACAAACATGAGTTCGAAAAGAAGCAGGAAGAATTCTAAACTTGTTAGCTCTCACCCCCGTATCACCCTATGATTCATTACAATATTACATGTTCCTATATATGATAAATGGATTTAATATAAAATATGCATCAATATTTAATCAATTGAATGCACTGATATACAGTATGTAATTGTACCATATACATAATCAATTTCTTTACAATAAATAAGTCATTTATAGATTGTTATATTATTATCTTTAGAAAACAGTTACAGTCAACAAATTGTGAACAAAAAAATTTTTCGAACAGGCGCACAAATGTCCAAAACTCCAACATTTGTCATCTTAACAATCGTGTCACACTGACAATGTGCCTCATGATACTCTGGATGCATCTGACAACGAGATCCTGTCCCCCAGAATGTCCACCAACTTTGCCAAGTTCTTCAGGAAGAGTGAGACAACAAATATTAATTTCCCTATGTTAAAAAGAATGGATAGAATTTTATGAAGTGTTGCATTCTGTGTTTATATTTCCATAAAACTTTAGAAAATGCAAAAAGTCACTGCAGTAAATGCTGTTTGTGTAGATAAGGCCTACTGTGCTCAGCCTTTCACTGCCCCAAATGTTCACAACAACAGACTTGAGACAAAGCTTAACTGAGGCACGTTTATTTATGTTAGACACTTTATTCAGTTTTTATTTGCTTTGCATACATACAAGCAAGCTTTAAAGAGTGAATAACAGAAAATGTATACGATAAAAATCATCCTGATAAAAGTAGAAATAAAGAAATGAAATCAAAATAAAAGAGCAAAACAGTCAGAAGGCATAAGAAAAGGTAAGATTCAAATGCTTTAAAGGCTCAAGGAGAGCAGTCAATGTATTTCACTCTCCATTATGCCAAAGCTCCATATTGTGAATATGATAAAGATGCAATCATTGTAACAGATTCTCATTTTGCTCAGAGTGCAGGCAAACACATGCATACAACAGTTCACCTTTAGATTTTCACAGAGTTTGATAACTCGGTTACTGTTGTTATATCACAAAGCACATTATCACAGTCACTACAAATGTTTTATTATGACTTCTAATAATTCAAACTGAAAACATTTCCACACTCAATGAAAAAATTACTCTTCTGGAAATTGTGTATTCACAGCTTTGAAAGCGTGTACCAGCTCCTGTTTTATACAATCGAACAAATCTGGGCAGAAAGTCAAAAAATTTCTAGTAACAATTAGATTCTTGGTAATCCCAGGCAGGTCTTATATGCACCAAAGCTGTATCCTTTACCTAGAAGGGAGAAATAAAATGCTTCAGTCATCTGGCATCATGTATTGTCCTTCTTAATGACACTACTTGTAATATACATTTTCGTGTTTGCATTAATTTTATGAGCAACAAAAGATAGTGATTATTTCTTATATACATCATCTGAGGTGTAAAGGTGCAACAATTTTATCCACTTTATAATATGGCAGAAAACATTACATGTGCAGACTAGCAGGTCTATGATGAACAGGTGAGGATTCTGGTGTGCAGAGCGATGCACCACAGTTAGAAGGCAGCAGAGAATAAAGGAGGATTTCTGCAAATGCTTCTTGATTATCTCTGTGTGTAAGATTAAACATTTTAACGGTTGAGTGGGCAGAATAAATGTGATCAGCAGGTTGAGCAATAAAAGAGATATAGGTTATAGATCGCTCTCTACTCCAGGCCACAGCTGCATGAAAATGTCACACTAAGTCGATTCTTGTTGTATATGCTACATATTGCAGCAGTCAGAGGTCGGATCAGTACTCACCCGCTGAGCCCTTCTTCTCCACAAGCCAGTAGCAGAAGCCTCTCCTGGCGCGGTCATTGAACACATTCCTGTACTGAGGCAGGTTTTGAGGTGACAAGCTGGGTTTTGGTGCGCCTAATGAAAGAGATTAAATAGTAATGCAAAGCAAATTCAAAAACTAAGAATTTGTCAACAAGCCTAACGTGGTACCTACTGTATGCTCGCACCATGGAGGGAACAGGGTCATTAGCTGCAGTTTCAGTCAAAGGAGGCAACAGACTGCTGGTGGTGGTGCAGGGCAGAGTAGGTTTTCCTCCATGTGATTCATACACTGAGGTATATAATGAAACCATGTTATAGACAGACTTTCCTTTGTTCTTTCTGCTCCTAATATTATAGAATTTTCACAAACCTGTGTCTTCTAACAACGAAGCTGGAAAGGATGCAAGATAACCTGGAACCTGAGTGGGATTAACTGTGCATAGAATCACTAGAATACAAAGCAACTCCTGATTGTTTTTACACATACGTCTCTGGAAGTGGAAGACATGTTTTATTCTATTCTTACCATTGTTTTCATTTTGCTCCAGTGATCAGTCTGGAGTTGTGGAAACATGACTGGATGATTCCTCGGCCAAAATGTCATGCTGGTGATGAAAACAGGAGGATCATGAATGCTGGATCCCTGCTGTAAACACATCCAGTACGTGTGTGAAAGCTCTGGACAGAGACGGATTACTTACAGCTCTCGCCTGAAGCGACTCGAGTCCCATGTTTTTCTCTTTTGCCCTGCCTGCATGTTCTTGATATTTCTGCAGCCGGCTGAACTCGTCTCACACATGCCAAGATGGGTTGTGTTACTTTGTCGCTTAGCAACATGTTCGGCAACAGTGTGCCCCTGCTGTGTAAACTGAAGCTGGTTATAACTTCAAGCTATGACATAACACTTACAATGGGCATTCTTCCTTGTAGACGTGCTAAATATAAATTCATTCAGCTTGTACCAAGGTTGATATCCTACATTTGATATTTTATGGCCACTGCCACAGTATCTGGCTTTAAAATATAAAAAAAAAAATACTGCTGTTCTGTATGTTGTTAAAACTTTATCAGTTTATTTCATATCAGAAAGATAAATGACAACAAAATTGAAATAAAATTCATTGTCATATGATGACATCAGCGAGTAATTCCTACATTATAAATCAGAAGATGAACTGATGAAAACCACTCCAACACACATCCAACTGTCCCATCCAAACATCCCAGTATAGTCCTTAACTTCAGTGGTTTGGTCTTTTCACCATCAGTGTCAAACTATTTCTTACAAAATAAACATAGGTTAATATAATTTCCTCAAAATGCTGAGAAATAAGATGACAATTTAAATTTTTTTTTTGTGGTGAACTTGCATCACTTAGAGGCTGAGCAGAAGGAAACACACTTTAAAGAACATTTCAATCAGTAACAAATATATCAATTATTTATTACAATTATAAACAGTGTTGCGGATATCATATTTGTCTGTCATGCAGTAATGTAATGCAATGAACCCAGTAATCACATTACAGTTATTAATAATCAGTTTCAGTTGCTACTTGTATTTTGAGGCGGTATAGCCTACTAAAAGTTCTCTTAGAATTACAAACTTTTTCTGTGACGTGCTCTTTTGGCTGGTTTTTACCGACTTACCTGCTGGTTTTGTGGGAATACTTTATCCAAGAGTATTAAATAAAGCTCTTGTGCCCCTTCCTCTTATTAGGATTTGGTATGTGGGCATATGAAAGGTTTAACGTTTCATTGCTAACTGGTAGTTGGTTGACAATGTTTCTCAGGTGATGTTGATGCATCAGGCAAAAACAATGCAATGAGACCTGTAATAAACTGCTTTCTACACAGGGCAAATAAGTAAAGTAATGGAGCCTATCCCAGCTGACTTAGGGCAAAGGCAGGGGACACCCTGGACAGGTCACCAGTCTATCACAGGGCTACACTTAGAGACAGACAACCAAGCACATTCACATTCACATTCACACCTACAGACAATTTAGAATCACCAATTAACCTTAACATGTTTTTGGACTGTGGGAAGAAGCCAGAGAACCCAGAGAGAACCCATGCTGCACGGGGAGAACATGCAAACTCCACACAGAAAGATCCCAGGCATCCTAACCGGGACGTGAACCGGATCTTCCAGCTGCAAGGCGACAGTGCTAACCACCGAGCCACCTTGCAGCCCCTGGTTATGTTCAGAGTTTGGGAATTAAATCGGCTGTAAGAAGTCTTTCCTTTTAATCAAATTGTTTCCTGATGATTTTCTATGAGACATACAGATTCTTAGGTGAGGGAATATCTGCAAACCCGTTGAGCTGAGACGAATGAAGTCACACAGCTACAGTAGCCACAAGGACCTACAAGCATTGATTTGGTGACGCAGAGAACACATGTTTTATACTTGGTTCTGTTTTGTTGCAAAGTCTGTTTTACACTGCAGAGAATACAAGACGGATCAGAAAACTGAAGTCTATTGGTATTAATCACAGAATATATTTAGTCAGTAATATCAATTTCACTTTGATTTTGCCAAAAACTAAAGTGATTCCCATGTGTCCATTACAGGACAGGTTTAGAACAAAATGCACGTATTGAATTTCAGCAAGTTTGAAATTTAACAGCTCTAATGTGCAGCTTTCACATTAGAAATAAGCATTGGGGTTTTAGGTTTTGCAGAGCCAGCTAACACAAAGAATGCTGGGCAATGTCAAACTTGCTTCATGGTACACCCTTCAGCTAAAATAACAAAGATGTTTTTGGAGGGGAGTTGTGCACTTAGCTGATGTAGGTAGGATCGTCTTTAAGCATTCCCATTAAGAATAAAAAAAAACCACACACACACACACACACATATATATATATATATAAAATCTCTCTACTGTGACTGCTGTCATATTACAGATAAAAACCTTTTTTTCTGCTGAGGAAGACAATAACTGCTGAGTGAATGTGACATACAGGCAGCAGATCAAACTGTCTCCTTTGCAGCAAGTGTAAGGCTTTACAGCAGCTGTGACTCATCCAAAAAAGTAACACCAGCATTTTATCTTGCTTCATAAGCTCTTTACTTTCTATGACTGTACAATACAGTATTGCTTTCCTCATATAATAAATGTCCATCAGGTTTCATGCCTCATTCCTCCTGGCCTTGTATCCTCTCCAGCAGATGCAGCTCTACTCGCTGGTTCATGCGGCGGAGATCTTTCAGCACGCTGGGTTGATCTTCAAGCTCCTCGTGGAGACAACGTGCAATTTCTAACCTCCTGTAGTCTTCTGGTCGTACAAGACGCCGAATAACCTGAAGAGCACGATCCTTGAGACTGTAGACTATACAAATCAAACAAATGTTTGTTAAAAATGTAGAAAGTTCTGTCAACACATCAATTTAAAATATAGGCAAACATCACATCAAAAATTTTGACCGAATCAAAATTAATTAATAATACAGTTCCTAAATTAAAACACCAGTCAAAATACTTTTCCAGTCTTGTCTTCTTGTAGCACTTTTAAAACACTTTGAATATCCCTGTGGAAGATCTGTAGATTTTTCTGTGTACTGATTCTGTGTTTCTGTAAAAGATTTCTGTCTATTTATGTATGGATACTTTGAGCTCTACAAACTAAATTCCATTCAGCTCAGTTTTGTAAAAGTGTGGTAGAGAAAAAACTGTGAAAAACAAAAACAAAAAAAGGCAGAGGTAACAGATTTTAAAGCCCTGCCACAGAAAACTAAAACGACCTGTCAGAGATGGAAAATTAGAACTATTTCTATAATTTGCTCCTCTAGAAACATCATACAACAACTTGTTAACAGCACCGTGCTCAATAGCAATTTGATAGCCTTTTAAAATACACAAATATGTTAAAATATGGGTATTTCCTGCCAGCCATGTGTGCTCACACTTGCTATACACACAATCATAACTGCATTCTCACAATACAAATACGTTAGGTCATTTGACTCATCTCACCTGGTAAAGTGATATTAACAAATATGGCATTTCCAGCCTCTGCTGGCTTCGGAAGAAACAGCTCTTTGCAGTTCACCTTCAGAGGCTCATCAGTCACTGCATCTCTGAATATCCACGGGTGACCTGGGAGAAACACACACAGAACATCTTTTTTTAAAAAAGGTTTTCTGACTCTTTCTTGGCAACATTTCACTGACCAGTTATATCAGGTCTCTCTAAACTGCTAACCAAAGCAACAACACTTTTACAGTTGATGTTATCAGATGACAGATTAGTCACCATTTTTGAAGTGCTGCTGTCAGGTTATATTTAAATATGACATCTAAAGCTGTCTGACTGTCTTGAGCAAAACCAAAAAGACAGAATGGATGTTTTTGGTCCCACTAACACCACAAAAACCATCATCGGCCATTTACGTCCACTGACAGCTGACTTCCCGCCATCTTTGACTCAGCACTGAAATCTGACTCTGTATGAAAGGGGGCTACTTTCAACTGAGAACCACTGCCTATCGGAAATCTATCCTTTGGATAAATGATATGAAGACTGTGACCACGGCATTATTTCCTCAAGGTTAGATGACTGTGAGTGTCTGTACCTGGTTATGGATCTGTCCTCTCTATTTCATCTGCAGCTGCTGCAAGACTCTTTATGAGTATCAATAAAAGAGAAAGTATTACATCTGCACTGGCATCCCTGCACTGCCGCTCAGTTAAATACACAAGTGGGAAAAAGAAAAAGGGGGTGGGGTTGGACGAGATAGAGGAAAGATGTAATAAAGGTGAGGTGGAAAGAACAAGGGATGAGGGTTGGAGAGGATGATGGAGGGAGGGTGGAGTGGTTAAGATGACAGAAAGAATAAGAGTACGGGAAAGAGAGGATGGAAGAGAAGACTGAAGGAGAAAGAAAGCGTGAATAGAGGGGGAGATGGAGAAAGCTCCTGTTGTCCATCAACTAACAAGCTGCTGCCTCCTCAACCGTCCTGTCACTATCACTCCATCCTGCCCATTCAACTCCAGCAGCCTTCCTCCTTCTTCTTCTTCTTCTTCTCCTCCTCGTTCACTTTCATGTCGATCTCAATGATTTTTTTTCCCCATCATCATCATCATCATCATCATCATCATCAGATCTTTCCATTGCTCCTCCAGCACTTTCTTGCTCTGCATGAGTTCTTTTCTTTCCTTTTCAACATTGTTTTTTTTTTTTTGCTGCAGTTCTTGGTTCGCCAACAGAGCACGGGATTCCTCGATCCAGGCCTTTTCTTTTGGGAGGTTTTCAGCTTTACAGAGAGCGACAGAGAGACTCTGGTTCTCCTGCTGGAGTTTCAGGATCCCACTGTCTCCCTGTTCCAGCTGCTCCCTGAGCTCCAATACATGTGTTGATAGAAAACTCGAAGTAACTCACATTTCTGAGAGAAACTAACACTTGTTTTAGCACCATGCCATAAACAACATGACAATATGTTACCTACAATAGATAAGTGACATACTGGAAAAGCCCTCTTACCGACGAATGTAGTCATCTTTCGACCCGTTCCTGGCTGCAAATCCTCGTACGCCCGCGGCTCCCCTCGATAATCTATCCATAACGGCCGGACGCGATAAGGGCTGCGGTTACAAAACACAGCATGAACGGGTATCCGACTGTTCAGAGAACGAACCAGGGGGAGAGACTGCTCTCCCTCCTGAGGCATTGGTGCTTTTTAACGGGAAATCGTTGGCGCAGACAGATTAGCTATGTTGCTAACACCCGCTGGCAGCTAGCTAAATGTTCGCTGTCGTCGGCGCAAGAAACTCATCGGACTGACGATATCTGTATATTTTATAACTTGTCCAATTACTTTTAAAGATTACAAAAACAGGCCCCGTTTCAAATAACTCATTAACAGCCCAGCAAGGAACTGTTTCTTGTCGCTTCTTCGTAACTTGTTTGTTTACGTTCACTCTTCCTGATGAACGCTGTCGGACCTCGAACTATTCTGTTCTCTGATTGGTCGACAGATGTGTGACGACATGTCGGGCTCAGGCGCTGTGGTTGGTGCGTGCTGTGAATTGAAAAACGGTACGTGCTGTACGTGGTGCAAACTGAATGATAGTGATCTCACATAAATAAACAGAACTGGTGATGTTGTTTAAATAGTATACTGTGCAGCTAGTATGTTCAGCATGTTAAGTTAAAATTCCAGTAGGCTTTCTATTTTTCATTTTAGGCCACATTCCAGAGGAATATAGCCCACTAGCCTTTCATTGCATTGAATTTCTCCCTTTGTAATTAGGCTACTCTGCAGAGTATGACATCCAAAACTGTAAAGTATGATACACGTTAAGACTAAACTGACCAACAGTACACAAAGCAGTCAAAATGATCTCCACCCTTACAACCTACCTTACAACGTGGCACATTTAAATATCAATATTATTCCAATAAAACGCTCTGACATGGGTCATTCTGCAGAAAAACAGTTTATTTGTTTGTTTTTTAATTGATTCCTTCAGTGTTCTGTTTAGCTGATGATAAGTCTAGTCATCATTAGATATATTGCACATTTAAAGCAACAGCCCTTGGGCCAAATTGCTTTCCAGTAAAAAATTAGGATTAGCATGACAAATTAAACTAATAAGTTTAAATATTAAGGATGAATAATTTTTATTTATGGTGTGACTTTACTTGAATAGTTTAAATATTAATATTAACCACAGAAATCGTAGGGGGGAAAAAATCATACAAAATACATCTTGTCCTCACGAATACATGCAAAATTATTAATGATAGACATTTAACTGACTAATTTAGAACTTAAGTAACTACTAAAGGAAATGATCTATATACTTTTTCGATCTTTAGTTATTAAATACCCATAACGTTAACACTTGATAACAAATAATATCAAGCTGGTTTGGGGCTTGTGAGTATGACAGCAGTAAATAACAAATAAGACAAAACATCTTACTGTTATATTACCTGAAACTAACTTTAACGAAAATTAGTCAGAAATAACTGCCTTCGATTTTTATTATTAATACAAATGCAGCCTTTTCTGGACTTTTCTTCAGCAAAGAAAACAAATCAGACTTAAGACCAGACGACTTAATGAATATGAGCTCCACCCAGCTTGATCCTCACATAAAACACTGGGGGCACAGCAGCAGACACCTTCCAGACTATTTCCATCCTGAACTCAACAGCAGAGGTTCACTTCACCTTTAACACGATTTTTAAAAGTATCTATGATGGTAGATGGGGAAAACGGTTGCGACTCTTAAATCGTTGCTTTGAATTTTGATGCACGGTTTTAAACTTCTTTTCTTTTTTTAAGAATACAATTACGCACAGATTGCTGGAAAATATTTCTTTCGGAAAATTCTGAGTTTTAAAGGACTATAATTAGACTTTCTGTTAATTTACTCCAGAATCTTTTTTTTTTTTTTTGGCAAGTCCAAATTGTGCCAAACACAATGCGCGCCCTGAATGACAGTTTGTTTGGGGACGCGGAGGATGTGGACAGAGATGAGAGTTTAGCCAAAGTGGAGATCGCGCTGCTCAGTGCCATCTTCATGAGCGCCGCCATCCTCAACACCGCGCTGCTCTTGGTCCTCTGGAGACAGCGCAAACAGATGTCCAGGATGCGCATCTTCGTGTTCCACCTGTGCCTGGCGGACCTGGTGGTCGCTTTCTTCCAGGTGTGCCCGCAGCTCATGTGGGACATCACGGATAGATTCGTCGGTCCAGACCTGGTGTGCCGTCTCGTAAAGTACCTTCAAGTTCTCGGCATGTTTTCATCGACTTACATGATCGTGGCCATGACAGTCGACAGACACCAAGCTGTCTGCAACCCGATGGTAAAGTTTCAGCGGACGCGCACAAGACTGAACATCCCCGTGTGCTTGGCGTGGGGGATTTCCCTGCTGGGCAGCTTGCCGCAGATTTTTATTTTCTCACAGGTTGAGGTTGCACCCGGAGTGTTTGACTGCTGGGCTAATTTCATCCAGCCTTGGGGGCTGCAGACTTACATCACCTGGACCACGCTCGTCATTTTTGTTCTACCGGTTATTACAGTTGTTGTTTGCCAAGTGCGCATCTTCAGAGCCATTCAGGTCAACCTTTACCAAAAGACTCAACAGCTGGGAAGCGTTGGTGTCCCGCTGCCTTCCAGGGCCAGCGGTGTGGCCGGCATGTCCAAGGCCAGGGTGAAGACGCTGAAGATGACGGTGGTCATAGTGCTGGCTTACATCATGTGCTGGGCTCCCTTCTTCACTGTCCAGCTGTGGTCCGCCTGGGACCAAAATGCGCCTAAAGAAAGTAAGTTACTGCGTATTTCTAGCGGCTGTTCGGTGTAACTAACCTAGATCACGCTGCATTTTGTTTTTTTGTTTTTTAAATATCTGATATTTAGAATCAGAGCCTCGACGTGCTTGTGCGTATGTAAGCACAAAGAAGATTCAATATTTACAGGTGCCTGGCGTTATTCATTTGCAAACACGTGACGCATTGCCGTGTTCCTCTTATTCCAGCTGCGACTTTCACCATCCTGATGTTGCTGGCCAGCCTGAACAGCTGCGCAAATCCCTGCATTTACCTCCTGTTCAGCGGACAGTTTCCTAAGAGGCTGGTGAGGCTCCTGTGCCGGCGGCATTCCGAAGGTAAAGACTCGATGCATGAGGAGGCGACGCTGGTGAGCACTTTGTACATGAGCTTCAAAAACGTCTCAGAGTCCAAGTTAGGGTAACGCCGTGCGGGGAAACGCACAAAAAGACTGCGCGCCTTGAGGTGCTGCTTGTCATTTCTCTCTGCATTTGAACGACTCTTTGTCTTAAATAATGAGCACACGCACTTTATCTAGTGGACGGCCTGGTGAGTCCACAAGCAGTCCAAAAAAGCTATCCAGATGTGGTTGGATGTTGGTGTTTTGTTGTGCTGCTGGACCGACATACTTTGGAAAAGAATGAGCGGAGAGTTGTAAAAAACTCACAGGTATCATGACATCCAATTGTAAGACACGTTTCTTGTGAAATAAAACATTCTTCACAATTAATAGAAGTTGGATATGGACATTCAGTGGTATTTATTTTGCACAAATGGAATTTTGAGCAAAGTGCAAGTAATTAAAGTACAGTATCTTAAATCATATCCCAGTCCTCGGGGTTGAGCTCAGAGACATAGGATACAGGACATACTGCATCTGTAGCTTCATTTTCCAAAGTAAAAGCAGTTACAATGCCTGAAAGTGAGCACAAATGCAGACATGCTGTTTACAGCATGAACGTACTGCCACAAAAACTGTTGTTGTAACATTGCTGTATTTAAACATTGTGAAATACACTGGTCAGTTCTGTTAATGTTCCCTGTGGTGAATACCTGTTTTAAGATCACCTACTGAGAGACTGTATGTGTTAAAAAAAATGTTTATGCTGTAACCAACTGTACAGAACAAGTGTGAAATAAAGTCAGATTGTCAGACCTGCTTTGTCTTTTCACTTGGGTTACACACATATTTTATACTATAGGACTATTTTATGAATTTCACAATTGGAAAAGTAATTATTACAATTATATTAAAAGGCTAAAATGTAGTTGGCATTCAGTCACTTTGTTGTTTAAACAGAGATCACATTGTCTACATTCTCAATGCACCTTTCCATTTATTTTACAGTTGACCACATGTTATGAAAAGATATTAGCCAGATCCAAACATGCTGTATGTCATACATACCATGTGCACTACCTGCACGTAAAACAGAAAAAAACAGTGATGGGGAATCTTCAAAGAGCCAGTATAACAAAGGCTGACACAGCCTGAGAAATGGGACACATGCTCATGCATGGAATGTGGCCATATATACTGTTCACACCCAGATAAGTACAAGTCAGGATAAATAGTTTTTATTAATGTAAAATAACTCTGGTCAGGACTTGGGCTCAACACCGAAAATCAGTCATCATTTTCTTTCAGCCGTTAGACAATAATAAATCTAATGCTGCATTATGAGCCCAGACTGGATGCAGGTCATTAGTGTCTGTTGCCTTTGTGATGTAGTTGAATATGAGCAACAGTGGCAGCTAACTGAAGATGTGGACAGGTTTTGGTAGAGTCACTATGACAGCTGTGTCTCAGTTTCATTACAGAATTGTACAATGACTCAATAACTTGACCTACATGGCACCATCTTAAGTTTGGAGACATGAGCAGAAATATAATGTTATTGTATGTAGTGCTATTGTTATTAGTTATATCTCACCTCCTTGCTACTGACGATGTTTCCTTTGTGACAACAGTTTGTGCAAGTAGCAGAGGATTTCTTGTGACATTCAGTGGGAATGTGTTTACCTTTCTCCTGTTGAGGAATCCTTCTGATACCTTCTCCATATGCAAGTCGGAGCTTTTGGTCGGTTCTCGAACTGGAGAGATAAAAATCAGGTAAATGTTGGAGAGCAGTCTGCCATCTCTGCTACCAGTCACAAAATCGATGTCCTCTTCTTAATAAAATTAAGGGAAGCAGCTCAGTTTTCCACCGTGACAAGAGCAAGCATAATAAGGAGTTAGTTCCAGGAAGGACCCCATGTTCTCTGCAATTAGGCAGAAAAATATGTGCATATATCTGCATCAGCAATTAGCCAAAATGAGTTTGAAAAATACTGGATATCAGCAACATCCAATTTCATGCATAGAGCACTCCTGATGATTTAGGTGGTTTGACATTCACACAGGTCTGCACACTGTACATGACATCTCTCAAGTGAGACGTTTGTTGACTCTTTAAGAAAGTAACAGGGCACTGTCCAGATTTTTAAAAGGGAATGTGTTATTAAAGTATGACTAAACAGTTTTACCAAGCAGGTGAAAACATAATACTCAATCTAGGTTAAACTAAAATCATTTACTGAAACAGAAACAGTTGAGGTAGTGTAGATGGCAAAGAACAAACATGATACTCACCTTTAGAAAAGGACTATAATGTTTTTGTTTGTTTGTTTTTTAAAGTAATCAAGGAAAACAATAAATCTTGTGAAAATTTAGACTATTTCTGCATTATGAGACCACACTAGATGCAGGTCATTTGTATTTGTTGGTTATGTGGTAGAGTGAATAAGAGCAAAAGTAGCAGCTTACGGAAGATGTGGAAAGGTTTTGTGAGTTGTTAGTGTTACTATGGCATATTTTATACACAGATGTTAATTCCATTACAGGAAGGGCCTGATGTTCTCTGCAATCATGTGGGGGAAAAAATGTGCATATATCTGCATCAGTAATCAGCCAAAATGGGTTAGAAACTATCAAATATCCGCAATGTCCAATTTCATGCATCCCTACTGCATATTCATTCACACCACTCCTGATGATTTAGGTAGTTTGACATTTACACGGGTCTGCACACTGGTAGCTATATGACATACCTCAAGTGAGACTTTTGTAAGCTGTTTAAGAAAGAACAGGCCAGTGTCCAGATTTTTTAAAAAAGGAATGTGTAGGCAAATAGCCATACCAAGCAGCAAAAACATAATACTGTATGTTGGTCAAACGTCATTTAAATACACAACTGACCCCTATCATCTCTGATTCATTTTAACCATTATTAAAAATTGTAAGGAGTATAGAAAAGATTTTTTATTTATTTTTTCATTCAAAGACATTTAAAAATGAGCCTTACTTTTTAATGTACCAAACTGTAGATGGGAAGTAAAAACTGCGTTAGTGGTCGACTGATATGTAATGTTTTTTTCCAAAGTCGAGGAAGACAAGAAATTAAGGTGTCGAAATTTAGACTAACATAAACCCCAACACAAATACTTTTGTTTACATATGTGTACATATTGTAAACTACCAAAAAAAAAAAAACAATACAAATAACTGCAAAACAGCCAAACTTCAGATTAAATAATCGGCACAATATACTGATAGTACCCCCTTTGTTCAAACACAAGGAAATGTATTTTGTGACACAAAGGAGGACACTTCACTGCTAGCCATAGGGAAGGCTAATCTGTTTATACCATCCAATTTTATTTACTCAAGTAGTGAGTAAATGCTGAAACCTTTCATTTATGTCATTACATTAGGATGTGCAAATTCAGATACAATGAAACAATATAACTTTGAAGGAGGCTGGAAATAAATACATCTTTACAAAATAATACATTAAGGCGACTTTTGCTGCAACAAGTTGGTAATAAATCATTTTTACACATTTTTTGTGTGCAAAACATTGTTGTTTCCCTAAGACATTTCTGTTAGATACTCTTTTTCTTTGCTATTTTGAAACATTGTACCCAGCACCGATTGTTAGTTTTGAACTTAAACAATTTCCTTTACATCAAACAAGGGACTATATGTGTGTAATGGTGAATTCAAATCAGTGGAACAGCTGACAACATAATAAAGTGAATGCGAGTTGCTGCAGCCAAAATTTTAAAAGAATCACTCAGTAAAGTGAGGTATTGTCCAAGTACGATGACAGCTTTGTCATCATCCTCCTGTCACCCACCACTTCCACAGGATCCAGACTGCTGCCCAGGACGGAGCTGGCCTTCTTCACCAGCTTGTTGAGACTCTTCCTCTCAGCTGCCGTGATGCTGCTGTTCCAGCAGACCACACCATAAAAAATGGCTGATGCCACCACGGAGTCATAGAAAGTCCTTAGGAGGCCTTACTGCACACTGAAGGACCTCAGTCTGCGCAGCAGGTGGAGTCTGCTCTGACCTTTTTTGTACAGAGCCCGAGTGTTAACGGTCCAGTCTAGATTGATCCACACTTTGAAAACAAACCTTTTGTACAGGAAATGTGTAAACCTAACGCTCTGTATCCTTGACATGCCGTCACCACCATTGACTTTAGAAATAGTAATTGTTCAAAGAAATAAATAAAAAATAATAACAAAATCATGGTCTCTACTGAGGGGCTCCAAAGCAATTACACGCAGAAGCCTGTTAATGCAGTTTTTAGTGATTGTGCTTCTAAAATACAAAGTATATTGGTGCACCAGTGTTTGAAGCAAGCATGCCCCATTATTGGGTAAAAACAGGTAATAAACGTGATGTTTGTGTGTTATTGTTTTGTTTGTTTTTTTTGTCTGTTTTTACTTATTAAGTCTGTATGAACTCATCTTCTGTTTTACTAAGGGAAAGTATTGGAGGTCGTGTAGGAAGCATTTAAAATCTGAATGAGCAGGTTGTCAGTGTGTGTACAGAGGTTTTATGTGTGTGTGTCTCCATTGTCAGTGTATGTGCGCAGCTTTACGATGTGTTCATTTTGGTTTTCAGTATGTGTAGGAGTGAATTGTGAGTGTATGTCCTGTTATTTAACGTGTTTTGCTCAAAATCGTATAGATATCAGTGTGTTAACAGTAAATTATGAGTGTGTGTGTGTGTGGTGTATGTGCACATATTTTGAATGGCTTTCACCTTACACAGCCTCACAATCAACAGTTACATCACACAGTTGAGTTATGTATGAGGTTGTAACAGGGCCAACGTCAGCATATTCTGTCAGAACTCATCCACAACTTACAGCAACATGTTTCCTCCAGTTCGACGTTGAGTTCTTGGAGGCTGAAATGTCCACATGTTTGGGAAGACACAGCTGACAACGAGTGACATAACTGTTGTTTTTGGTAGAACGTCAGGTAAACATTGGTCATATGTAAAACCGGGGGGATGCTCTGTCTCCGGCTCTGAATCACGGCGTCTTTTGTCGCCATTGTTGATAGCGGGGTGCTTTTCCTTTGCACATCAACAGAGTGCTTGCTGCTGCCGCGGAGAGTTTGTGTGCAATCACGTGACTGTCTGGCTTCATTTGATTGGTCACACAGAGTCACGTGATGGAGACTGTGGCGGAAGTGTCTCCATCAGAGGAAAATAATGCCATTATTTTTGATATATT